CAAATGGTGGTTCCTGGTTACATATTTGCCCAAAAGAAAATCACCCCCCAAAATGTGGACACATAAAGACAAGTGAACAAGGTCTTATTTTATGTACAGTATTTGGAGAAGGAAAGGAAGTAACACTTGAGTGATTGGTTTAGCATTTGAATGAGTTTGTGAGTAGGTTTATGTGTTTTTTTTTAAAGTCCTCTAAATTAGCCCAATGATTCAGGGACTATGATCATTCTCACTTAAAAAAAACAAGGCAACTGAGAAGTTGAGACACTTGCCTCAGGTTGCACAGCTGGTCAGGCAGATGTAGGTCTACTGGACCTGAAAGTTCCAATCCTCTCCCACTCTGCCTCTCCAAAGCAAAAAGGTGAAATTCGGCTGTTTTTCAGGAGGGTGGAGATATCTTCTTTCTTAGGTATCAAATACCTAGCTTCTCAATGACACATCTGTTGGACATTGTTGCAGCAAAAGAGCCAATGTTAATAGGAGTGAAGTGGACTTATCATTCTGAGGAAGCAGAGAATGTGCTCCCCCTTTCAAATTCAGCATAAGCATTGCACGATCAAAGAGGGCACAGACAAATGCCTGCCAGACCACAGCTCAGAGTATAGAGCATGCAATTGATTGTTCAGCTGGAGTCTGGGGAATGAAAATCTCCTGTGGAAAGTCGGGGCAAGTGCAAGAGCCATGAAACATAGTCGTTAAGTGCTCAGGCTCTGGAGTTATAGACTTGAGCTTGTAGCCTTCCAGTCCACTTATTAAGAGACTTGGCCTTTCTGAATGTCAAGGTCCTCACTTGCAATATGGGGCAATGATACTTTGCAAGATCGTAGGTTAAATGGGCGCTGGCCTGTTGAGTGCCTGAAGTATAAGATGTGCTCAAAAATGTGAATCGTCCTTTATTTTGGATTTGTTCCCTGCCTCTCTTTTTGAAACTCACAGTCCAAAATTCTATTTTGTATAATATATTAACATAAAAAGAAAGGGGATATAAAAGCTGCGTGCACAAGCTTGCCTTTATGCAAATATGTAGACACTAGCATCTTGTTGGGTTGTGTTTGACACATATCAGGTGTCCAGGTGGAAGCTTTGGAATATGAAGACAGTGTAGCTTTGAACATGGCCAAGAAAAGAGACAAAGGCCAAGTGAGGTCTTGTGACCTTCACCTCGAGTGATGCAGATGGAATGAGAAGTAAGAATGAGAGCAGGTTTTACTTGGTGTCTCTCTTTTCCTGATGGCTCTTGTGTGGTTTCCTTGGAAAGTTTACCCTGGCATTTTTCAGAAATAGCACAGTTGTTTGGGATGATTACAGGCAATCACCATTTCTCAGAGATGGAACTGTGTTTAGCTCACTGACAGGCTACTCCCCAGTCCCCAGCTGGGGGGATGCACAGCTGGACTCTTGTTTACCACGTATCAGATCTTGTGAACTTTGAAGACAACCCACCTCAGGGAATTCATTTAGGAAAAAGAGTGAGTTTTGATGGTGGAACATGAAATCCCTTCCAACAGAAGAACAAACCCAATAGCCAGCTCACCTGACAGGCTGTTAACACAGTGTCTCTTAAAATCCATGTTTGAAGTCAATGAATATTAAGAGATTAAGAGAGATAATCTGAGGTTACAGGAGAAGCCCTCCTTGGATATCTTGAAGCCACACAGTCCAATAATGGAGCCATAGCGATGTGTGGCTGCTGAGCACTTGAAACGTGGTGGGTCTAAATTGAGATGTCTTCTACAATACACGATTTCAAGGACTTAGTACAAAAAATAATGTATCGCATTAATTTTTTATGTTGATTACATGTTGAAATAATACTTCAGATATAATAGGGTAAACAAATATATTCTTAAAATTAATTTTATTGTTTCTTTTTCATTCCTTGTAGTTTGGGTACTAGAAATCTTTAAGTTACATATATGGTTCCCATTCTGCTATTCTTGCTTTAAAACATCACACAGAATCTTTATCCCTACTCAAACTCTCGTTAATACTTACCTCCATTTTGTACCCTGATTATGATGATCCTAGGCTATTAACAACAAATGCATATCCAGAACTTTGCTACCTTAGGGCTTTGCTCTTGCTGTGAACTCAGTGTAGGGTGCTTACCCACCCCCACACCCCCAGACATCATCTCTGGTGCCTTTTTCAACTCCCTGATCTTTTCTCATAGGCCCTCTCCCCAGGCAGGCCTGCCCTATCCACAAGTTGGTCACATCAACCTGCTCTATTCTCTGTATGGCACTTGTTTATATTGTCTGCCCTCTCAACAAGACTGTGAGCTCCATGAGAAGATCTACCATGTTCATCTCTCTATTTCTTGCTCTCAGAACAGCACTTAGCTTATAGCTGGTCCCCAGTAAGTAGTTCCTGAAGAATTAAATGCATTAGCCTTAAATCTGACTGAGATTGTTTAAACTGTGTTTCAGCGTGGTGCCCTTCATTCATATCATTCTGACTGAGCACCTGTTGTAAGCCTGTCACTATGCCTTAGGAATATGGTGATAGATGTCCTGGCCTCACTCTCAGGGAGAACAGGACTTAGTGGCTTCCAAGGATAAACATGTCTTGCAAACAGAGTTGTCCTATTACTGCCATGAGCCTTTTGTTGCATTTTACTATGTATACTACTAAGGAAATAATGCAACAGAGGTAAAAAAACAAGATAACCTCAAAGCTCAGACTCCCTGTTTACCCACAGTGGCAGAAGGTTGCTGAAAAGGCAGCTCCCTTGTGCTCTTCTGTTTTTAAAAAACATATTAACCATCCTAAAGAACTATGATTATGGGCAGAACCAAGCCATGTATTTCTAGCTGTGGAAGACTCTAAATGAGAAGATATTTTGAGCTCAAAGTATACATGTTTTCAGAGGTTTTTAAGGGAAAACTGACCTTTTAATACATCCTTAGATTACAAAAGCAAGCTGTAGACCACTGTGTGGAGCAGATGATTGTTTTTGTTTGTATATATCCTATAAGTGTGTGTGGGAAGGACAAATGCATTCCAAGTGGTTAACCTTGGCTATCTCAAGGTTGTGGAGAAGGGTGGAATGATATGACACTATAAATGTTTTCGTAACATACTTCCATATTATTTTATTTGTTACAGTGAACATGTATAATTTCTGTACTTTCAAAAATGAATAAAGTAGTTTTTAGAAAGAAAATTTAAAAAGAAACACGACAAGGCATTTTTTCATCTCAGTTCTGGCCCAAGCAAAGGCCAGCAACTAGGCTGGGTTTCAAAAAAATAGGAAGTACAAACTGAGCTCACTTCTGGAGAATTTTATCATATCATGGCTCTCTTACCATAGTTAGGACTTCATTAACCTCTTTAACTGGGAGAGTACTCTTTATTGAGAGCACCTGTTATAAGCCAAGTAATTTGTTTACATATGCCCATTTTATTCTCTAAATAATCTTGCAAAGGCAGGCATTAAATATATCCTCACTTAGTGGATATAAAAATTAAAGTTCAGGGAGGTGAGATGAGTTGCCCAAGGTCACAGAGCTAGTTAGAGGTTGAGCCAACTTTGCAGAGAAGAACTACAAAAACAACTAGAAAACAAGTAATAAGATGGCAATAAGTACACATCTATCAGTAATTACTTAAATGTAAATGGTCTAAATGTGCCAATCAAAAGACATAGGGGGACAAAATGGATAAAAAAAAAAAGCAAGACTCATCTATATGCTGCCTGCAAGAGACTCACTGCAGACCCAAAGATGTATACAGACTGAAAGTGAAGGGAGGAAAAAAGGTATTCTATGCAAATGGACACACACACACACACACACACCTAAATCCAAGCAATACTTGTATCAGTCAAAATGAGACTTTGAAACAAAAATGGTAACAAAAGACAAAGAAGGACACTACATAATGATAAAGGGACCAATACAATGAGAGGATATATAACAATTGTAAATATCTATGCAACCAACATTGGAGCACCTAAATACATAAAGCAGATAGTAACAGACATAAAGGGAGAGATTGATAGTAATACAATAATAGTAGGTGACTTGAATACCCCACTTGTATCAATGGATAGATCATCCAGACAGAAAATCAATAAGGAAACAGAACCCAACTTTGAACCTAGTCCTTTTCAACCTTTTGTCCAATTCACCACCATTTGCTACCTCTTTCTAAAAGATAAGGTGTAATGCAGTATTTTGCAGCTGGTTCCATAGCTGAATTAAACTCTGTTCTCAATGGAAGCCTAATTGTAGGCACTTGTGAAAGGCTTCTGCTCCACAAAAGCTTTCCCCTAACTAGCCCTGCAGCCTGATAGTTAGCAGTAGAATCTATCCCATTGGGTGACATCCCCTGGGATCCATTCTCAAAGTACAAGGACCCTTAGAATTGAGTAACATGTAACATCATTATAGATCATAACCATCATGTGACCATAATATAAATTAATTACCAAGGAAATAAACCTAGCAAATGTCCAAGGAAATGAGACATGAAGCCAGTAAGATGATGGGGGTGTAAAGAAGAGATAGTTATAGAGCAGAGTCAGGAATGTCCTACAGGGGTGTCATTGTGGGACGGTTGATAAATATAAGGGACCTAGAGGAACCAGATGTAGGAAAGAAAGGTGCCACTAAAGGTATATATCACCATCCAGGCCAGGCAATGGGTCGGCACAAAACAGAGAGAACGGGCGCATGGAGTCGGTTTCCATACTGCATTCCCCACCCCAGCTACAAGGCTGCTGTTTGTCAAAAGGTCACTGAGATATAAGACGTCAAGGCTCAATGAGTAAAAATCAGTCACCCCATCAAGAGACAATTCACAGGGCATGTTCTCCCAGGAATCTGCTCAGAATGTCTCTCTGAGGCCCAGAGGGCCAAGAAATAGCTTCTGGATATATGGGGGGGTTAGTTTACAAAGCTAATGGATCTTATCTAGTAGTGGATTTCCATAAGCAACCTGGACAAAAATACTGTCTGCTCTCTTCTTTAAATAGAATATGCTTTTTTTCCCCACAGAAAAAGCGCACATTGAAGGGCTCCATTGAACTCTCCCGAATCAAATGTGTCGAGATTGTGAAAAGTGACATTAGTATCCCATGCCACTATAAATATCCATTTCAGGTAAGTCCACTACACCTGAGGGAACTAGTTCCCATTCCTGGGACAATGGTTGAAATCCTCAGTCATTGTATTAGAAGGTGGGACAGGGACGACTCTGATCTATAGTTAGATCGCAACAAAGCCCGCAACAAAGCTGCTGTGTTCTTTCATTCATTCATTCATTCATTCATTCATTCATTCATTCTATTCAACAAAGCATAAAATCTTGAAAAAGTTTTCATTCCTCATTTCCCTTACTCTCATGTCTTCCCTACCTCAACAAAAATCCCAATTCTCTGCTCCTAGAGGAAGGAAAAAAAACCTATCAATGGCCCCAAACCTAATATTCTTTAAGTACAATTTACTCATGTTTTGAGGCAACAGATTGTAGTACTTGATTACAAATTGTTTGGAAGTTCTGGGACAAAAAGACTCAAATTTTATAATCTCAGAACTAGCTAGAGTTGTGTTATCCAATACAGTAGCCACTAGCCACATGTGGATGTTTAATGTTTAAACTAAACAATATTAAAAATTTCTGAGTCACACTAAGCCACACTGAATGAATGAACATTTCACATGTTCAATAGCTGTGTGTTGGACAGAACAGATAATAAAACATTTCCACCATTGCAGAAAGTCCTACTGGACAGAGCTGGTGGAGGTTATCATTTGTCTTTAGGTCATGACATTGTCCAAATCTTGTCCTCACTCTTGGCATCTATGACTCTGAAGCAGTGGATATCTTCTTGTACCTTCTAGGGTACTGTTCCTCTTCGCCAATTTGAGAGGTAAATATTCCATTTTTAATGTGACACAAAAAAGGAACTCTTTTCTTACTAGAAAGTTGACCTCCATGAGTTGAAATTTTTAGTAATGAAAGTAAAATGAATAACATGTATTTTCCTGTCATTAAAATTCCAATTAGGGGCGCCTGAGTGGTTCAGTCAATTAAGCGTCTGCATTCGGCTCAGGTCATGATCCCAGGGCCCTGGGATCGAGCCCCGCATCAGGCTCACTGCTCAGTGGAGAGCCTGCTTCTCCCTCTCCTTCTGCCTGCCACTCTATCTGTGCTCTCTCTCTATCTCTCTGTCAAATAAATAAATAAAATCTTTAAAAAAAATTCCAATTAAAAATGAGTACATTAGGGGACGCTGGGTGGCTCAGTTGGTTAAATGTCTGCCTTTGGCTCAGGTCATGATCTCGGGGTCCTAGGGTAGAGCCCCACGTTGGGCTCCCTGCTCAGTGGGGAGTCTGCTTGTCCCTCTCCCTCTGCCCGCCCCCGTCCCCGCTCATGCTCACTCTCTTGCGTGCTCTCTCTCTCTCAAATAAATAAATAAAATCTTAAAAAAAAATGAGCACATTAAAAGGGAACCTGGGTGGCTCAGTTGGTTAAGCATTCGACTCTTGATCTCAGCTCAGGTCTCGATCTCAGGGTTGTAAGTTCAAGCCCTGCACTGGGCTCCACACTGGGCATGGAGCCTACTTAAAAACAAACAAAAAAAACAAACAAAAAAACAGAGTACATGAAAAAAAACTGGTAAAATTCAAAGAAGATCTGTACTTTAGTTAGTAGTGTTGGACCAATGCCAGTTTCCTGGTTTTGAAACTGTACTGTGGTTATGTAATAAGATGTTATCATTAAGGAGAGGTGGGTGAAAAGAACACAGGAACTCTGTACTATTTATGGAACCACTGGAGTGTCTTATATTATTTCAAAATAAGTTTTTAAAATCTCAATTATACATTTTTCATCTAATTTTTTACTCTTTCATATGCCAGAAAGATTTTTTTAATCACATAAAAGTTAATATGAGAAATAAATATGCTGTCACATGGAGAGGTTTTTGTCCCGCTGTTTTAATTTAGCAATGGCTTACTAATAACATGGAATCTCAGACAAATAGTCTGAGCTGTGGAAATACACCCTGTGTCTGCAGAGCATTCAAATATCTGGATAAAAAGGACACTGATCTCCTAATCACCCAGATGTTTGCCTTTAAGTAATAAACACCTGAGGCCCCACTCTCGGCTCCCTACGCCAGATGGGCCTGCTCTCAGTCATCCACCTCTGGGCGCACGGCTCACCTTGGACTCTGTGTGTATCTCCAGGTTGTGCATGACAACTACCTCCTGTATGTGTTTGCTCCAGACCGTGAGAGCCGGCAGCGCTGGGTTCTGGCCCTTAAAGAAGGTAATGACTCTCCTTGCCAATGGCTCCCTGAGATCCCTTGATCCTCTAGTGGGCTTGGGGTTCACAGTAAGATAAAGGGCAGCGGGTGGTCAAATACTTCTTGCTTTTGGTGGCCGTGTTGATTCCAGCTTTTCACCCTGGGCCCAAGGGGCAACAATCAGTACAGTGTAAGTTCAGCCAAATCCAGCCTACCACCTGTTTTCATAAGGCTCTGAGCTAAGGATTGTCTTTGTATTTTTAAATGGTCCTATTTTAAAGGATTAGAGAAGTACCTCCATAACATATCGATTTTGCCTGCTGGTGAGCAAAACCTAAAATATTTACTATCTGGCCCTTTCAGAAAAAGTTTGCCCACTCCTGGTCTAGTGTGAAGAATAAGAGGATGGGCCCTCGAGTTAGATGACCTGAGTTTGAATCCTGACTCTGCTACTTACTAGCCGTGTGTGCGAAGGGCAACGTCCTCAGCTGCTCTGTGCTTCAGTTTCCCCATCTATAAAAAAGGAAAGAAGGAGGGAACGATAATAATAGTACCTGCCTCCAGGACTGCTGTGAGGAAAGCCCTTGGAACTAGCCTGGCCCAGAGTCGGCACCCGATAAATGTTAGCTAGCTTTAAAGGTTTTCAGATCAGCAGGAAGGGTATTTCTTAGGCTTGCCTCCCTGACAGCATCATTAGAAGCAGCACAGTGTTTGGGTATACGTGAGAGGTGCAGCCAGGCTGCTAAGGTGAAAATCCCAGCTCTGCCAATTATTAGTCTGTGACCTGGGGCAAGTTCCTCGACCTTCCAGGGTCTCCATTTCCTTAGCTATAAATTCTGACTAATAACAATCGGTCACGCGGTTATTGTGAGAATTAAACGTGTTAAGACATGTCAGACACTTAGAACCATACCCAAAGAAAGCACTCAATCGGTGGTACTGTTATTTTGCCCAAAGCAAACCCAGTTTATAGGAGAACTGGGTTCAGATATTAATCTGTCTCTAAGTAGCTATAAGGATGAAGAGTAAGTAAACCATTTAGAATCTTGGGAGCCATGATGCCTTTACCTGAAAAATGAGAATAAAAATACAGTTCTTATCTTCTTCCAAGGTCGTTGTCTCAAAGAGGGTATGAACGGGCCAATGCTGGGTAAGCTGGAAAATGCTCTCAAGTCATGGAGCTCGGTATAAACATTAAAGTAAAAAGTTATCAAAAGGGCTCCAACTGTGTCCATTGGCTATTCTCCCTCTGCATAGGGCTTTACTCACAGGATGTTAGAGCTGGAAGGAACATTTGAGATGGCTTGTCTAGATCTCCACTTCTTATACTTCTTTTCTTCAGCAGGAGAACCTTTTTTTTATTTTCCTACCAAAATCTCACTTTAAAGCCACAAATCTAGAATGGATAAAAGCAAAATTCCTGTGGTTGAAGGTGGGAGAGATGAAGGGGCTGGAATCCCTCCCACTCAGTCTTCCCAGTGCCCCTTGGGCGCTTTTGTGGGGCCCACTGATCCAGTCTAGGATCAGAGGGTGTGTTGAGGCTCAGATGAGGGTGTTGTCCAACCTAGGGACATACAATTAACGCAAGGCCAGACAAGAACCCAGATCTGGTAATGCCTAAATCCAACATGTACTATTCACTCAAGCTTATGCAGGGTCCAATCTCAGGGAATTGTGAAGTTGGTAGCCCTTGATAGACTGACCTGAAAATAACTCTTCTACTGGTGCTAATCTCTTTCAGAAACAAGGAATAATAACAGTTTGGTGCCCATGTATCATCCTAATTTCTGGATGGATGGGAGATGGAGGTGCTGTGCTCAGCTGGAGAAGCTTGCAGTGGGCTGTGCCCAGTACGATCCAACAAAGAATGGTAAGAGACTGGGAATTCCCCTTTCTTCTTTGCAAAATGACTGACCTCTCTAATTGTAGGAAGTAAAAGCTCACATCTTCCCATCATCAGGGGTGTCATGGATTGAATACAAAATTTTGCATTTTTAGAACTTTCAGAAGGAAATCATCTGCCTCTACTACTTGCCTGTTGATGTTTTTCATCTCAAACCTTATGCCTTTGTAGCTCCTTGCTACTAAAAGTGTCATCCTTGGACCTGTACTGTCAACATCACCTGCGAGCTAGTTAGAAATATAAATTCTCCGGCCCCATCCCAGGTCTGCTGCCCTATCAAAATTTGCATTTTAACAAATTTCCTGGAGATTCGTGTGCATGGTAAAGTTTGGGAAGCACGGCCATAACCTTCAAGTTAGAAAATGTAAATGGCATGGTCGACTTAAGTCTTAAGTTGTAGAGGCAGACTTAGAGATCCATAACATCATTTATTTATTACAGTGGTGTCACATCACACATATATTTAATTCCAGTAGCTCAACTTTATCCTCTTGGAGGGGAAGAAAGCAAAACCAAAAACTGTTTATTGTACTCTGTGGCTTCTCTCTGCCTCCCCTTCAAACTCGCCATCAATCTCTATAATCTCAGAGAAAAGGAGGTCAGAGCCTAAATGCAAAATGAAAACAAAAGACAGTGTTTCTGGTTCTTGGAGGGCAAAGGCCCCGGAATGCGGGATTGGGGTGCGACCCACTTTTCCCTTCTGTGATTGCTCTGGGACCTGAACCTTCAATGAAGTGCAACTTCACTTGCATGCACTTTTACACATGGTGAGCTCCCATTCCCCACAGTCGTCTGGGGGAGATGGTGTGAGGTCACGGAAACAGGAGACCTTGAGCAATTGGGTATGCTCAAGGTCACACAGTGAGGAAGTGCTCTGCAAAGCCATTGTTGAATAGGAATGATGGATCCTGTGAATTGTTTTGCTTCCATTCCCCTCTCCTCTCAACCTCTCTTACCCTAGCCACATTTTTTCATTTGTCAGTTTCTTTTTTGCACTAAAACAGAATACCTCACATTGACAACCCAAGGCGGATGTGCTAAATGTAACACATGTCTGGGTTTTCCGTGGCTTCCTGAGTCACAGCCCCTCTTAGTACCACTTTAAAAACCATTACTTCTCACCCTCCACCTTGGGAGAGAAAGTTTAAGGTTACCAGTCCCCTGGCCCAGAAGAACAATATATACCTGGTTTTAGAAGCGAATGATCTTCTGCATTACCCTATGGACCATATTCACAAAGGCTAGTATTTCATAAAAATGAAACAGAAGGTTTTATGTGGGTGAAATCCACCGTATTAACAAGATGGCATGGGCTTTCACTGGTGCATGAAAGCCCTTTCCAAAGCTAGAGGTCTGCTCTCCAAATTCCTGCCAGCACCTTTGTTGTGGGCCCTTGGACCAATCACTTGGCCATCAAGGGCCCTAATGTCCTCATTGCTCCAATGTTAGGGGAACTTTTAGGGGTCCTACGATGAAACAATCTCCAAGCCCCTTTCCAGTTCTGGAATTCCTTGAGTCTATGTTTCCATTTTGCAGTTTTCACCATGCGTGTTGCAGCTGACCCTCTTGCTGCATAGTACTTCCCTCCACTGAGTGCTAGACACATGACTGAGGGTGATGAGCATCTGAATGACTCACCATCATGGCACTTGGAGATGGCTGCTCATGCTGAACTGCTCACCCCATGAACCCAGGGCCTAACTACTATACAGTCAGTCTCTTAGTGGTCCTACATTCATGTTTGCAACAATGGGCTTGTGGAAAGCTCTTAACACATCTGCTGGCACTTACTGAGCTCTCAACAAATGGTAATTATGCCCACTAGTCTTTCTTATTTGTAGACAGAGGAATCTGAAGCTGAGATACAGCAGTGTGTGTGTGTATGTCTGGAAAGCAGCGGAGGTGGTTGGGTAAAAATGGACCCTGCTCTACCCAACCCACAGCGACACTCATTTCTGCAACCAGAACTGGCTCTGATGTCATACAAACCAACTGCACCCAGAGGGAGAAGAAAGAAGGGAAAAGCAAGGCTAGAGGAAAAGATATACGTTGCAGAATGTTCAGGGTCGGAAGGGGCCCAAGGCCACACAGCTCATTCCCAGTGGAGCTGGGGAGAGAATGCCAGTCTCCTGGTACTCTGAGTTGAGTGCTAAATAGGATCCATGCTTCCAGTTACGTTTGTTTGCTTCTTCTCTGTTAATCACAAACCCAAGTCAACACCCCACCCTGCCCTGGCTTAAGGAGTTAGCACACGGGCTGGGTTCCCATGTCACTATGTTGGTCTCCTCTTACCGCCTTCCTGAGAGATGCTGTCCCGGTCAGGAAGGGATCAACCTCATACGTGAGTCAATCTCATGCAGAGATGAGGAGCTCACCACCTACTTATGGAGCCTATTCCCATATTATCTCTAATTTTTAAATCATTCTTTGAACTGAGCAGAAGCTGATGTGCGGCCTCCCATGCCACACCTACTCCCAGACATTCAACTTTGGTCTATTGATTCCAGGAATGACCTTTTCAGGGCCTCAAAGGAGAAATACCAAGAGACAGAGGAAGAGACAAAAGGAGGGAGAGAAAGAAGAGAGCAGGAAAGAAGGCATAGAGGAGAGGTGAAGAGAGGGAGCTGTGGAGACATAAACAGATAAACAGAGAGAGAGAGGTGCTAAGGGTGTTGTTTGGAGGAGGTAGCCAGAACACATGCTCAGAAGCATTAAGGTAACTAAAAGTAGATTCCAGCCCTCCCCAAAAATAACACAATGACCCCTCACCTCACCCACCTCCTCCCCAAGCCCATGGCTACCTCAGGAAGCTGAGTCACTGTTACCCTGAGTCACCAATTCCCACTCCAGGGTTTGGCAGGTGGTAGGTGTGTTTGTGGAGGCCTCCCAGCCCACATGGAAGGACACAAGCCTAATGCCTCTGAAGCAACTTTTGGATTAGGCTTTAACGGGGAATACAGAATATTGATTTCTAGAAGTTTCTGGCATCTTCTAGAAAATAAAGTGGGGAACCAACAGGCTAAAAGAGATAAAACACGGGCTCTACAAGGCTGATTTTCGTTTCTCTGTGTCTCGTCAGCTTCTTCTGGCCCTTTTCTTCTGTTGTTCACCTAAGGGCCCCTTTTCTCTGAAAAGCCCTCTGGCTGCTCACCTCCGGTTGGGCACATTCGGTTTCATGCTCATTTTCTTTTTCTGTTTTCCTCGTTTCAGCTTCAAAGAAGCCTCTTCCTCCTACTCCTGAAGACAACAGGGTAAGTAAGGGCTCGAGCTCTGGGCACGGTGGACACCCATCACTGCAGCTACCTGACTGGCATGTCCCCTTTGCACTTTCCCCATCTGCCCAGATTTTTCAGATCCTTGGCAAATGCAGCAGGTTATAGTAATTCAGTTGAAATGAACACACTGGGTCTCTTGAACCTGAACTGTCTCATGGGTCTGTTTACATAAAAGGACTGCTCAGCTGCTAAGTCCTCAGTTTACTTTATTCATTCAACAAAAACTTATTGATAACAAACTGTGTATCCAGCCACCTGACCACTTTGGGGTATAATGACAGCTATCTATATAAAATAGTGTATTGTGGCACCTGGTTGGTTCAGATGGTTAAGCGTTTGCCTTCAGCTCAGGTTATGATCTCAGAAGCATTGTACGACAATGAAGCATCAGTACGACAATGGGACAAGCCTGGGACAAGTTGGGCTCCCTGCTCAGTGGGGAGTCTGCTTATCCCTCTCCCTCAGCCCACTCATGCTCTCTCTCTCTCTTTCTCAAATGAATAAATAAAATCTTTAAAAGGATAAGCCTGGGATAAGTCGGGCTCCCTGCTCAGTGGGGAGTCTGCTTGTCCCTCTCCCTCTGCCCACTCATGCTCTCTCTCTCTCTCTTTTTCAAATGAATAAATAATATCTTTTTTAAAAATAAAATAAAATTGTATAGTTACTCCACACCTCACTTTTGATATTATTTTATATTTTTCAAAGTACTTCCACACTTTTACTATTTCAAAGATATACATATATATACATCTTTATATATTAAATATATATACACATATATATGAATGTACCTCCTTTCCTCATTGTCTGTTCTAGCCACTTCAGAGGGTTATAGTTTTATTCACATTTTAAAGCTTGGGAAATCAAGTCCCAAGAGAGATTTTGAGTCTTTTCCAAGGCCATTCAACAGCTTAGTAGTTAAGCTAGTAGGCAGCAGAGCTTCTGGAGTGGTGGTCTTTAACTCAAGTGGTGGTTCTCAAAGTGTGGTCCCTGGACGAGCAGTATCAGCATCACTTGGGAGCTGGTTAGAAATGCAATGTAAATTCTCAGGCCCCACCCCAGACCTACTGTATTCATAACTCTGGAAGAGGGTCTCAGCAATCTGCATTTTAATAAACCTCTAGGTGATTCTGGAGCACACTGAAGTAGGGAGAAAGACTGATCTAATATACTGACTTACAAGATTTAGGTGATACCAAGCCATCTCTGGGGAAGTCACCTCTGGCTTGCAGATGGTTTCCCCCATAGTCCCAACTATATAGGGTAGAGGTAGGATCTAGGCTCAGAGTATTATTATACATTATTATTATAAGCAGGTTTCTCACCACATGAATGTTTAATAGGACGTTCAAAAGTTGTACAGGATGTGGGATACTGCCGAGATTTTTTGCATTCTTGGTCCTCTCCCATTAAATGCTAGCAGCACACCTAAACCTTTCTGACGTTCAAAACATCCCCATAGATGTCCAAGATGCTCCCTATGGAAAGCTACCACCATGGTTTGAGAACCTTGCTCTTAGCTTTCTTTTCATAGGGATTGATCAATTAGTTGGGCCTATAATGGGATGAATACCATGATGTCATAGCCCTCTGCAATCTTCAGGTGCCCTTGAATATAAATCCTTCCTCCATTAGCTCTTGGGGTGAAAGCCTCAGTCCCATTGACTCTTATCTGCAGTACTCCAATACACCATCTCATGAGCTCCACCAATATCTAGACTTCAAATCCTAAACTGGGCTCAGCTGGGATGACATACTACTTCAGTATGACAAGCTTTTCTTTCTAGATCTCCAGGATTTTTATACCACCAAATGCTTCAATGTGCTCATAGAAACTTTGGCTTCTCGGGGCACCTGGGTGGCTCAGTCATTAAGCATCTGCCTTCGGCTCAGGTCATGGTCCCAGGGTCCTGGGTTCAAACCCCACATCGGGCACCTTGTTCAGTGGGAAGCCTGCTTCTCCCTCTCCCACTCACCCTGCTTATGTTCCCTCTCTTGCTGTGTCTCTCTCTGTCAAATAAATAAAATCTTTAAAAAAAGAAAAAGAAAAAGAAAGAAACTGGCTTCTCAACACCAAATCTCATCTCCACCAGTAATCTCAATCTCTTCCATATTTACTGTCTCACAAAATCTGCCAAACTGTAGCAAGTGTGCCCTTCCTGAACTTCCACAATTGTTTGCTTTATCATCTCTTCTTCATGTCTTCAACATATCATCCTTAAAAAAGTACTGAGAAGTAGATTTAGGCAAGAGAGCCCCTAAGAGGAAGAAGGAAGTCCATGTGCTATCGTAGAGAGAGCATTAAGATTAATTCAAGGGTTAAGCTTAGCCATATCTATTTCCCCATCTGGGGCTCTGTTTCCCCATTCTAAACAGAAGAATGGATTGAATGATCTCTCAGAGGCATTCCAGCTCCAGGAGTCTATGATCCTATGGATCTGGACAAAGCTGCAAGTCAAATCAGAAAAGCATGTACTGAATAACTTAGCCGTGACTGCATCACTTTCATCGAGAATATGATGCTGCCAGTAGAGAGGCTGCAACATGTGACCAACAGACTTTTATGAAAAGCATGTAGCTGCTTGGAATTCACTGTGGTCAAAATTCAGCACACAGAATGAGAGGGGCAAAGAATTCCAGGTACTGATTGTCTCTGTGTCATATTCAGCACTACAGTCTTAAGTCATAAAGAAAGCCAACTAGAGAAGGCAGGTGGTTTCAGCAAATACCCAATGGATTGTAGGAACTGGTGTATTGACCTGGCATAGAACCAGGAGCAAGTTACAGTTTAGGGACTTGTTGACCTTGTTCTGCAGTTTACCTCCTTTCTATGTCATCGCTTGGTTTTGTTTTCTACCTCCTCCAGCAATCACTTTGGGAACATGAAGAAACCATTGTCATTGCCTTGTATGACTACCAAACAAACGATCCACAGGAGCTCATGCTACAACGCAATGAGGAGTACTACCTGCTGGACAGTTCCGAGATTCACTGGTGGAGAGTACAGGACAGGAATGGGTAAGGCATCTTTGTGGTTGCTGTCCCAGGGCTTGAGGGTAGGTGAGAATAGAGAAAACACTGGAATGATTTGTCCTGCCTCCATCAGCATGACCATTGTGCTGAGTTAGGAGAGGAGAGCAGAGGTAAAAGAAAGAGGAAGGCAGAAGTGGTTGAGGGGATCTTTCCACTTCTCAGAAGTGGTGGAGGTGGTCACTTGCTATGCTCACTCCCCAACAAGCACTCCCAGCCCCCAAGCCCATCTAAAAATTCCCTGGGTTTTTTCACTAACATCCATAGAGTAGGAGATGGGCAGCTTGTTCTACAAGGAAGCACTATTGTTCTTGAGTGTTTAGATGAGACTGAAGGCACATCCCATTGTGAAGTGTCTATTTTCAGTGAAAAGAAAAAGCATGTGGAAATGGTACAGATTAGTGGTTATATTAAGAAGCATCAGGAAGAAGATACTAAAGACTTAGCTACACTACCAGTCTTTGAACTAGCCATCTACATGATTCAGGGAGAAAGTTGAGTTGTGCTAATACCAGTTGCCCACTATGGGAGTTCTGAATGAAAAAAAAAAAATCTTATGAGCCCTTCTCTGATCTGAAATACAACAAAATTACTTTTGTTAACTTTCAGAATGCTCTGGGATATATATGACTTAGATACTAGTACTTAATTTTAAGGCATCAGATTCATATTGTTTTATAAGGTTTTAGTTTTTCCTTTTAATATGTCAGAGGTATTTACCCAAGTCCTGGAATATTCTCCAGAATATGATTTCAATGATTGCATAAATCTAACACAAAAGTATACCATAACTGAGCAATTCCCTTGCTGGGTGCTCAGGTTATTTCCAATATATTGCAGATATTAACAACACTGCAATGAACATCCTTGTATACTAATATTACAGGTTTATACATTTTTAAAGCATGAGGTTATTACTGATTTAAAAATATAAAAAAGAAAAAGAAAAGACTCCATCACTGCAGTGTTGGATGGCCTAAATCGATGTTTTATTTAAAAAAAATAAAAATCCAACCTCCATTTGTCCCCATATCAATTCCAAAAGTAATCACTATTAACACTTTCTTATGTATCCCAAACAAAAAATTTATACATACGCAAATGAATCCTTTCTTTTTCATTCACACAAAGGTGATTCATTCTGCTCTTCACCTTGCATTTGACCTTTAGTAATATATCTTGGAGATCTTTTCATATCAGTGATACAAATTTATTTTTTAAATAATTGCATAGTTTTGGAAGGTGTGCTTGTATTATAAATATTTGAATGATCTTAAATGGTAGGATATTTAGTTTCCAAATTGTTTTCTTTGTTATTTTAAACAAAGCCACAATGAAGATCTCGTATTGCTCATGCTCATGTTTCTGGGCAATTTTTTGAAAAAAAATTGCAACATATATAGTTTTAAAAGTATATTTTTCTTTTGAAAAAATATTTATCTCATATTTCTAACTATGGAACTGTTGAGTCAGAGCATGTCTCAATTTAGGTAGATAATTTCCTCAGAAAGGTTGCCAAATTTACATTCCCACTACCCACCAACAGTGTGTGGGAGTGTCAACACTGGGTATCACGAACCTTAAAAAAAAAAAAAAAGCTATTCTGATGAGTAAAAAAAGAGGCACACAAATATCTTTAGGGTTAAGGCTTTACTTTTTACATAGATCAAAACTTGCTTTGTCAAAGCGCCTTCTCTTTAAGTAGCCTTATTGACACCACTACAGGGAGAGTGAGGGAGGGGTGTAAAATATGGTGCATTCAAGGACTGTGGTCTAGGAGTCAGTGTTGCTGGCTAGCTAGGAACAAACCCCAAAGCACCTCATGTGGAACCTCCCTCTCTAGCTGACTCATGGAGGCAAGTGAGGCCTATCACATCACCTTCTCTTTGCCTATTATAAGGAGTCCCATATCAGAAACAGATTGCCCGGTTCTACAAACACCAGAAGAACTTATTCAGAAATTCACTCCTCCAGTCAACTGACATTTATTTAGCACACCTAATGTGCCAGGAAATTTCTTCTCCTAGGTTTCACTTCCCCAAATGACAGTTTACCCTTTGTTCAGTGGCCTATGGAAATACTCAGCTCTGCACTTCAAAGGCCATCAAAGAGGACACCCTAGAATCTAATTGGTGTTTTGGGAATTTCCCCAGCGTGCTTTGTAATAATGCAGTATCGTGGAAAGTACACAAGATGGGGCGACAGAAGCCTTGGACTTTAGTATCAGCTGCTCTTGTTGTAGGTCTTTGGAAAAATCACTTAAACTTTGGGCATCCATTTCCTTATCTATGAAACACAGATGATAATATCAGCTCCGTCTATCTTACAGGGTTGAGGGAATCAATGAGATGCTAAAAGTGAAAGGAGCTTTGTAAATCCTACATCCACATACAAATGAAGAGAATCACCATTTGTGATAATCATATTATCACATAATGTTATGTGGTTGGCATATTAGAACACAGTTATTCTATTTGAAAGTAAAAATTATATTTGACCTAGTACTGGAATTGCAAACATATGGTGTGGCAAAACCAGACAAAATCAAGTGGATTCCAAAAGACAGATATAAAAGAAATAGCAAATTTTAGAATAACTTGATTTCTATCAATTGGCACAGACTGCCTTGAGCACCATATTAGGGATGATTCTGAAGCAGGGTGTTCAGTTCTCCAAAGGAAGCATGTCATGATTGACTAGCAATGTCAGCCATGGGCACAGGATATGAGACAATCTTCCCATATTTGGCATCCCTTGATTTCTTTACTCCTCAAAACAATTCTGTAAAATAGATTATGCATTCCTCATTAAACACCATCACCAGATTGAAAAATGGCCTTATTATATAAAAATTAAAATATGCTTTATGAAGTAAAGAGCAAGAAACTCTCAGGCATCTTTTTATAGATTGGCAGGGTTGGGAGGAATTTTATGTGGAATCTAGTTTAAGGCCCTCATTTTACAGAGAGGGAGCCAGAGGCCCAGAGAGTAAAAGAGACATTGTTTTCACCTTGTAGTATTAAATGCAATAATGAATGTGAACGTGCTTTGCAAAATACAAGACCACACACAAATGTAAAGTATTTTGATGTGCTGATTAGTCTCCTTATCCATATGTCTTTGTTTATGCACAATTATGTATTCCTGCTCAAAAGAAGCTCCTACCTCTAAATCCAGCGTGACTCTATTCTTTTTTCTCATGTTTTACCATTTGTGTCTGAGGGAGTTCAACTAACAACAACAACATATTAGGGAGGCCTTGAATTAAAAGCTTATAATGCTGACTGGCAGTATCTTTTGGGACCTGTGGTTGGAAAGTGATTTTTTATATTTTAATTATTTTGGGTTCTTGACTATAAAATGGTAGCACTAAAGTGGAAAAAATACTGATTGTCACACCCCAAAGAAAATGTTTCCTTATAGAAAATAGAGACTGAACATTAATCTTTTTTCCACTAGAGGAAATTTCACAATGAGGAGAGCAACAAATAATGCTTTTTGACTGACATAGCCACTTCTTATTTATTATGGTTCACATTTTAGTGGTGAAATCTATTGCCTTTAACAGATGGCGGATTTTTGTTATTTTTAGCGACTCTTTTATTCTAAAACTTTAAAATGTCTTATCATGAATGCCAAATAATGTAAGACTCCCCCATCTTTAAATGACTTTTAACGGATTGAACCACCTCTAAAATGGAGATGTGAAAATTTGTCCTATAATAGTCTAAACATGAATTTCTCTTTTAACAGGCATGAAGGATATGTACCAAGCAGTTATCTGGTGGAAAAATCTCCAAATAGCCTGGAAACTTATGAGTAAGATATTTTCTTTGTTTTCTAAAAATATGGTACTAAGGTCCTCCTTAGATTAGGAATAAATTATTGGTTGATTATAAAAGTACCAGGCATTTTTTTTTTCTTGTGCTTTGATCCCTAAGTAAACAGTAGAGGAACAATTTAAATAGAAGAAGGGGGCCTATGTATGTACTCACCTCCCCTTTTATCAAACAGATGACTCTAAGATATGCACATAGATTGTGGTAAAAGGAAAAGATTCTTCCGGGAATCTTGGTCTTACTTGAGAAGGAAGAAAACAGTATGAATACTGATCAAATACAAACTCACTTAAAACACGCTTTAAGGCAATACTTCCAATACCAAAATAGCAGACAAATAGGTATTAAATATCTGCTTGGCTTGTATTGTTTATTTCAAGTTGTCACTTAGAGAAGAGTTCACATGGATATCATTTTAATGGAACTACTTAATGTTTAATAAAATGCAATTGTAGTGGACAATGTACTCACCATGTACGTATGCTCCCCAGCTCAGCTGCTGGAGGGTCCAGAAACAATAGCCTCATAGCCACCACAACAGCTCTGTGTTCACAGATCTTCCTTTCTAAATATCGCTTCCCACTAAAATAGAGTTCTTGAAAAAACGGCTTGGGGATTCAGAGTCGAGGCAGGGAAAGAACATAATGAACTTGGAACACCTTGCACCAGAAAGTAAAGAAGTACTGCCCCCCAAAATATTTTAATGATGTGGACTTGTGAAAGGGCAAAGAAGCTTAAAATTGTTCCTTCTGGCCAAATATGTGACAATTTGAGTGTCAAAATAAGTAATGACAGTAATGGACTACAGTCCGTTGAGTAAAATAAGAATCGATAACAAGCAGATAGTTTGATAGGTAAGTAAGTAAATAAATAAATAAATGAGAAAGTTCTTTCTTACCATAGAGTGCCAGCTAATGAATGTAGAAGGATGATCACATTTAAAAATCACCATTTGTAACTCAAAGTATCAACTAATTCAGGCAAGAAACATCAATGATGTCTAAACAGACATCCCAAGCCTCCTGATGTGATGCACCGAGAAGGACACAACATTACTTCTGGATATTCCTGCCCAGACATGCATAATCTGAGTTTCATCATGAGGAAATAATAGGCAAATCCATATTCTACAAAATAATTGGCCTGTGCTCTTCAAAAATGTTAATATTATAAAAGACACAAAAGGCTGAGAAATTGTTCCACATTGAAGGAGCTTAAGGAGATGAGTGTTGATTAAATGGACTAGTAATCCTGGATTGGATCTTGAGCCATTAAAAAAAAAAAACAAGGGCACCTGGGTGGTTCAGTCAGTTAAGCGTCTGGCTCTTAATTTCAGCTCAGGTCATGATTTCAGAGTTGTGAGATCAAGCCATGTTTTGGGTTCCATGCTGGGCATAGAACTTGCTTAAGATTCTCTTTCTCCCTCTCCTTTTGCCCCTTCCCCCCACCTCTCTCTCTCTCCCTCTCTAAAAAAAAAAAAAAAATGACAAAACACATCATTGGGACAACCGATGAAATTTGAATAAAGTCTGAAATTAGATAATAGTATTGCATCAATGTTAAATTTCCTGATTTTGGTAATTGTACCATTTTTATATAGGTATATAAGTATATATTCTATTTCTTAGAAATACATACTGAAGGGGCTCCTGGGTGGCTCAGCCTTTAAGCGTCTGCCTTCAGCTCAGGTCATGATCCCAGGGTCCTGGGATTGAGCTCCCTCTCCCTCTGCCTGCCGCTCCTCCTGCTTGTTCTCTCTCTCTCTGACAAATAAATAAAATCTTAAAAAAAAAAAAAAGAAATACATATTGAAGTACTTAGGAGTAAAAGTCTATTCCCAAATGGTTTGGAAAATATATATATATATTCAGAGGGAATGGTAAAGCAAATATGTAAAATGTCAGAAATTAGTTCTTCTGGGTCAAGTGTATATGGGAGTTCTTTAATAGTATTTTATAACTTTTCTATACATTTGAAATTATTTAAAAACGAAAAATGTTTAAGTCCTCTCCAAATGTAAGATACCAGGGTTGAAGAATAGTAGCTAATGAAGACTTCTGTTAACTCATTTGGGCTCTTATTAGTTCAAATGTGGTCAAGTTATTTGTTGCTGAAATTCTAATAGACTCTGTAGTGAAGAGCTACCATTTTCTGAAGAGTCTCTCAACCTGAGACTGGCTTTGATCAAGTTTGTGTGAGTAGCCCCTCCCTCAGCTAACAGAAGAGTCATCAGTTCCAAGAATACTTGAGCTGCAATGAAACATGTAGGAAATATGCTTAAATAAAATCCTTTCATTTTTTTATAGCCAATGCCTTTAGGGAAAAAAATAGGCATTTATTTCAAATGATCATTAGGCTGGGAAGTTTTGTTTTTGCTTTTAATCAGAATCTCATCATTTATGATAGAGGGAACAAACTCAAAATTCCAGCAGAGTATAAAGCACTAGAGAATGGTGGAGCCTGAGGCAAATAAAAAAGTGTATTCCTCCCCCCGAAGGTATTTTAGTTCATAAACAAAACAAAACAAAACAAAACACTAGACCATATAAGCAAAACAGTCTGTGAGCCCTACTTACTGTCGGTTTGCATTTTCAGATTATGGGATCACAGCTAGAGAATAAAATGACTCACAAGCAAACATCCCGACTTTATATATACTTTTATATACTTATATATATATATAAGTATATATATATATATAAAATACCCAATATGATGATTTTTTATCCTTGAACTTAGTATTGTCTAGTTTCAGGTGACATCTGCATAAGAACTCAAAAATGTACCATCTGGGAGCATAATCATGGTTTGGTACATCCAATGATTGGCTTCAGGTCTCCTGCCCTGATTTGGGGGCATAACCTTGGGCAAGTTTCCTCACCAGGCTGGATCTCAGATCCCTTTCCCTTAAAATGAAGGGTCAGACAAGTTGAAGGAGGAACTCTAGCTGGCATTCCCTCCCCATTCCTGAACTCAGGGTAGACATCACTCTTAGATCATGACACACTTACCTACTGAGCTCAGGTGCACAGCTTTAGGCAGCTACGACTAATTGACCAGAGCTTGCGCATGAGATGAAGCCTATTTGCCATCCCTCAGCTAGATAAGTTACAAGAGCCCACTGCGGTATAAAGTACCACTCAGTTGCATGATGTTCAAAAGTTCAGGTGGCTCCATTAATTCCCTTATTTGTAGCTACTTTCTAATAGCCACACGAGTTTGATGAGTAATGTTCCTTCCCCACCCGGAACTTCTCTCCTCTGGGGTTTATACTTTCCTAAAACTGATTGTTAACTGATGATCTTTCTAACTCCTCTTATCTAATAAGTAGCCAGGGAAGCCAGGATGTGGCTCAAGTGTTACCAGCAACATTCAAAAACCTCACCTCTAAAAATCACTCATATTCTTCTTACCACTTTTTAGGGTTTTTTTTCACCAGACCCCAAAATTATAAAAATAATATAATCACTTTGCAGAAGATCTTGAAAACCAATCTAAAAGAGGAAAATACTGCAATTGCTTTACAAGCCTAAACTTTCAAATTTGTGATCAGTTTTTATAGCTGTCCTAGCATCATCCTACTCAAAACCACCCACTGACTTATGAAATGGAGAAGATGAAGGTTTTCTAAAATTTTATTATGGAAAATTTCCAACTTGCACAAAAGTAAGGAGAATAATATAATAAACCTCCATATACCCAAAACCCAGCTTCAAAAATTATTGACACTTTACCAATTCTGATTCCTTTGTTCCCTTCCAATTAAACATTTTATTACCTGGAAATGGTTCATGCCTTTGTTTTTAAGTTGGAAGGCACTGGTACAGACAGAAAAAGACCAAATCATTTTCTAGCATTATCTTTTACAAATAAATAATAAAAATTTTTTAACTGTCATTGACATATGACTTTTTCCTGCTTTCAGGTGGTACAATAAGAGTATCAGCCGAGACAAAGCTGAAAAACTTCTTTTGGACACAGTAAGTCTCCTTTAACCTACCTTTTGACTTAAAATAAAATGAATTGTGCTCTTTTTTCCAGCCATGCTATCATTTATGCCAATGCAGTAAGCTGGCATACTGGATTACACTGGTTTTCATGTCCAGTGGAAATATTCTGGGGATTTATAGAAACTAGCATATAATAGGGTAAGAAACCCAGCGAGGGTTCAAGGCCTTGGTATTGACATGCAACTGTCACAACAGGTATCGTGGCCTTTCTGGCCGGGATGGCTGACCCCGGGGGGCCATGGGGCTAGTTGCCTTGCCTGCTTCTCACTCAGGGGTGAGTGTGACTTAGATACCACTTGGTTGGGTTGTGTGTCCAGAAGAAATACATCACTTGTTTTAACTTATTTTTCATGCAGCGGTTCTCAACAGCCATGCAGTATAAGTAGCAGGACTGATCTTGCCCAGGGATGTCAGAATAAAGGGAGAGGGATGAGAAGAGAGAAAGCAGGGTGCAGTGGGGAAAGTACAGGTCCCAGTCCCTGCTCTCTCACCAACACAGTGGGTGATTTGGGGGATGTTTCTTCTTCCTGGACTTTAGTTTCTCAATGAGTACAGGATGAGCGTTGGATTAAATCAGCAATGACAGTTACCCAATACTCATGCTGTCATCCTTTGCTCCTGATCTTATGTGAGAGAGTTGATCATGGTCCATGGCTTTGGGATCCTTCTCAAACATGGGGCTGCAGGCAGCCACCATCAGGTGATTGGCACTCAAGGTGAACCCTCTCTGCCTGGACCAGAGGGTCATTTGTTATTCTAGGACAGTGCCTCTCAAATGTCTGTGTTGATGGATCACATTTTTGTGGTTGGTTTTCAATTTCCAATTTGTCACAGACTTACATTTTATAAAAGAAATAAAAATAAACTACTAGAAAAAATAAAGAAGCAAAGACACAAAAAATTCAAGTTCAATTTTTTTATTAGCTTTAGATTCATTAGACATAAAATTATTCTGATTGCTATGAAAAATTTCTAAATGCCTACTCTCGATTTCTCTTTTTGTTTGGTGATGGACCAGCAACAATTTGCCATCTGGCGCCCACCCACAGACCACACTTTGAGTAGCACTGAAAAATTGCACACTGACGGCTCTTTCAGAGAAACCAAATGCATGGAGTTATGGAGAAAAAGTCTTCTACAGAGCAATCAATGAATTTACCAGCATATATGCTTAGAGCAGTTGTTCTCAGACCTGTTTGCACACTAGAATTCCCTGGGAAACATTTTTAAAAATACCTGTGCCCAAGCCCCACCCCAGATTAATTAAATCAGAATATCTAGTTGGTAGGATCTAGGCATTAGTAATTCAGAGAAAAATCTCTCCAGGTGCATCTAATATTCAGACGATGTTAATGACCTGTACCCAACACTAGCCTCACCAGTGACACCAGTAAACCGTTGGTATGAGTTGATGGAAGCATTAATCTCCCTGTGCCAAAATGTCAACCCTATTCCTGCCATTTCACCATATAACATTTCTCAGTTTGGGTCTGAAGGTTTTCCTATCTTTAAGAATTTTATTTTTTAAAAGATTTTACTTATTTATTTGAGAGAGAGAGAGAGAGGGAGTGGGAGAGAGCAAGCACGAGCAGGGGGAGCAACAGGCAGAGGGAGAGGGAGAAGCAGGAAACTCAGTCCCAGGACCCTGGGATCATGACCTGAGCCGAAGGCAGACGCTTAACTAGCTGAGCAACCCAGACACCCTATCTTTAAGAATTTTAAATTAAATTGCAAATCTTTCCTGCACGGAATGCGGGTGGGGTGACCAACTCATCTTGGTTTGCCTGGGGCTGTCCCAGTTTTAAAACTGAGAGTCCTGTGTTCAGGAATCCCCAGCCCACTCAGTCCTGGGCAAACCAGGACAGCTGGTCACCCAACATGGTGGCCACTATTTGCACAGTGGTTAGGAATGAGCCACTGTGGAGGGTTGATGAATATTGTCAAAGAATAATTTAAAGGCATACAGTTAATTATTAGCATGCTATGTACTTTTGTAGAAAGGGAAACTGGTAACAGATTGATTCATTCCATCTAAGGCAAAAATAGAATTTCTAAAAGAGGAAAAGGGGAGGGGAGAAGGAAAACCCACAGTCATACTGGGAGCAGTGAACTCCATCTTCTGCAGGTAAGTTGCCAATTAGCAAGCAGCTAGCATAGAGGACAAGGTGAGATGTTCTGCCCTTGGGCAGCTTGATCTCATCAAAGAGAGCAAGTTCAGTGGTTTATGGATTTCCCAAAAGACGCTGCTTACCAGGGAGGGATGCATCAGAAGCAGCCTGCGTTCTGGCCGCCGTCTCTGTTAGCAGCCGCCTCAGCTACAGTGTGTGTGCACCATTTCCTTCATCACGCTTGCTGACTAGGAACTCGAGTACCTTACCATTTTGCTGAGCACAGGATGAAGCCCTTAGGGGTACTTGAGACAGGATCTTTGACCACAGTAAGCTTTAGACTCTACTGGGAAACAAGGCAAACTCTCCAGTTTGGAGAAATAGAAACTAGAGAGTTTGCCTTGTTTCCCAGTAGAGTCTAAAGCTTACTGTGACCTCGGAGCTCAGAGAAGATTCTAAGGAGTCACATCTCGTGGGAGGAAGAGGAATTGAGCTGAGTCATGACTGGACCCTGGTTTTTCCTTGGTTGCGCATCAACTTAGCACTTAATCGTTTCCTGTGGTCCCCAGGAGACCATGCATTAGACTCACTGGGAAACTTAAAAATCCAGATTCCCCGTGGGCCCTGCCCCAGACCTAGAATCAGAATCTCCAGTTAGTTCCTGGGAATCTGTATTTTTTCAAGTTAAACTTGTGATGCCTGGGCAGTTGGCTCAGCTCCTAGTTCCCCAACCTATGTTATTGGATAACATAGTAAAACCTGACTGATGAGAACTGAGAGGATTGCAAAATTAATTAAAAACTTGAATTATAATGTTTAAATAAGTGCAGTTTTGTTATTTTCAATCACACATTGGTTGATGAAGTGTTACCCATGGCGCACTTGAAACAGCCCACATGAACGACAAGCTGAAGTGGTTTCCTGTTTTATGGGATTACTTTGGAGACACTTAAATACATTTTGCTTGCTGGGGCAGTTGAAACATTCCTTCCTGCTCATATTCTGAACTACTTTACCAAATCCTCTTTGCCGCCTTGGGTAATATAAGGGCAAACTTCAGTGAGTCCCTGTATTGTCCTCTGCTTGAAACAAAAGCAGAATTGTTTCCTGGGTGTGTTTACAATCTCTTTATCTAACAAGTAGAGGACACTGAAGGGGTGGATTGATGCATTTTTATTAACTAGACCTCCTGACGTACTGTCCCATCCATAGTTCTCCACTAGAATATAAAGGCTTTATCTTCCTGCTACACCTAGAATCCCAAACTGGATTTATGACAAGGCAGTTCCTCAATAAGTAGCTGTTGAGTGAATGAATACATCAAATGCTTCATAAATGTTTTTAAATTAACAACCATGCTTAAAGAGAACCTGGCTGATCATGAGCATCATTGGGGGATCTTTTTAAAAATACAAATTCCAAACTCCAGCCCTCACCAGGCGGAAGCTCTGGAGGTGGCACCCAGGTGATTCTGGGACTTACCCAAGTTTGGGAACTGCAGAAAAGCATCTCCTACATCGTCCTATCAATTTATCAGATAACACTACCTCTGAGAAGCCTCTCATGCTTTCCCTCTCTCTGGCCATGGAATGTGGTGGCCTGGCCTTGGAATGGTGCAATGTCATTATTTCTCCAGTGACACTGTTCTCACTCTGCCTCAGGCCTCAGGAGTTTCTCTTCTGTCTTAACCCATTTAGGTAGAGGGTAAATTCCTTGTGAGCAGCTATTCCTTACCTTACAGCATCGCACACGTTGGGTGACCTGAATTTTAGGCAGGAGCCTTACTCCAAGGCATTGGTTTATCGTATTTCTATGATTCAAAGATGTCATTAAAGATGCAATGTTGACTTAATAATGGATTTGTTTCAAGAGAAGAAAACCACCAGCTCCTGAATGTGTCAGAGACATTCTCCTGAAGTGTAATGCCACATGACAAGGCTATGAATTATCAGTCTGTCTTTCGCAGTAACCTACCCTGTGTGTTGAGATTACCTTCTGTAAATTCACCTTTAAATCCTATGGGCAGGAAGAAGGAAATATACTCCTAATATGTCAGCATATCTCAGATAAAGGCAGACAGTGGAATTAATACTTCCAACAGATGGTATACCATAGCATGTGACAATAATGGCTAGTGATAGCCCTAATGGTCCTTGTTCTGGTAGATTCCAGGAAATCTTCTATGTGCTTTAATTCTCCCAACAACCTTACATTTTACAGATGAGGAAACTGAAGCGCATACATTTAATCAGGAAATACCTGGAATTCACAGAATTATAGGCTGGTAAAATAAGAATTCCCTTTAAAGAACATCTGTGTTATGGAAGAGTAAACTGAGGCCAAGTTCAGAGTGTGAATCAGTGGCATAGTTCTGGGCTAGAGGAGGGGTGCATACATACACGTACACACAGGTGCATGCACACACACGGTTAATAAGGGAATATATGAGTTAAGTTCTATTCTCCCATCCCCATAATTCCCATCCATATATTTCACCACCTCCATGACTTTTTTTTCCCTAGTGTTGCCTCTTTATTTTTCTAGGTAAATTAGTAAAAGGTAAACTGAGACCTTGAAAATGTCTCAAGGAATGGGGGCCACCCTTCTGCTGCATTGTGTAAGTCAGTGCCCCTTTGCGTGGCAGTGATGTGAGCAAAGACCCTTTAAGCTCCAGTGTTCTTGGTGGTTGTGACTTCCTCTGAGCCCCTTACAGGAAGTAGGCGGTAACACACATGCTGGATGCCTCGTTTTCCTCAGAACTCTAGACTGCCTCAGCCCCAGACCAGAGTTTCCTGTCACCCTCACTGAATGTTACTTAGAGCAACGATGGTGGGGGAAGAGCTCTGAGCCTCCCATGCTCAGCCGAGCTGACTGAAAATCTTACCTCCCCTATCTCTCACGTCTGTGGATTACTCTCGTTAACAGTTGGGCCCCACTCTGATTACAGTTTTAAAAAATAACAACAATAACGGCTTCTTTGGAAGAATAAGAACAACAATAAAACATTCCTAATTAAATAGAAGAGATGTTTGCACGCCCCTCTTTATAGACACTTGATAAACTTCTGGGTTTGTTTTGTTGTTGTTGTGGGGGTTTTTGGTGTTTTTTTTTTTTTTTTGGTCTATTTCTTCCCCTTTTAGAATAACTTAGATAGGCAGATAAAATCTTCCTCTGCTGAAGTTTTGTTTCTTCCTGCCTTGAGTTTAACCCATCACATTCCAATGAGGCAAGAGCAAAAGCTTCAATATTTGGAAAAGGGGAAAATCTCTGAAGACAAACTGTGCTACATGTAATGCATGGATGAATATCACAAAGGTGATGTTGAGCAAAAGAAGCCAGACACTGATTCACTATTCACAGTAGCCACAAGGTGGAAACAGCCCAATGCCCATCCATTGATGAATGGATAAACAAAATGTGGTATGGTCATATGATGGAATATTATTCAGCCATAAAAAGGAACGAAGTACTGATACACACTACAACTTGGATAAATCTTGAAAACAATATGCCAAGCGAAAGGAGCCAGGCACAAAAGACCACCTATTATATTATTTCATTTGCCTAAAATGTCTAGAATAGGCAAATCTATAGAGACAGAAAGCATATTAGTGTGGCAGGGGTGCAAATAAAATAGAGGTATACTTGGGGAGTAATGGAAATGTTCAAAAATCAGATTGAGTTGCACAACTCTATAAATTTACTAAAAATTACTGGATTGTATATTTGAACTGGGAGAATTTCATGGTATGTAAATTATGCTTCAAAAGCTATTTTAAAATCAAATGAACTAATCTGGGATTTTTGATGTCATAAAGATCACCTTTACTTTAGAAATTAAATAAACTACTGATCCCAAAGGGGAAAAAACTCTAACGCTTGGAAAAATCACGTTTTTAAAAGGAGGATTTGTAAGCAAATGTTAAAAGAGACTTTAATATTTCACTGGATAAATGGTTTACATTTATATCTGAGAAAAGGAAAATAAGACTCTGTTTAGCACTCTTCTGTCCTCACCATGTCCAAGATTCTGCACAGAACACATTGTGGGTAATGTGGGATGCTAACTATAGGCTCAAGATCATACACTGCTCAAGAAAGATTATAAAGGATTTCTTAAATTTAAAAGAAAATCATGAAATAAAAATTACTAAAATAGGGGCGCCTGGGTGGCTCAGTCAGTTAAGCGTCTGCCTTCGGCTCAGGTCATGATCCCAGTGTCCTGGGATTGAGCCCCGCGTCGGGCTCCCTGCTCGGCAGGGAGACTGCTTCTCCCTCTCCCACTCCCCCTGCCTGTGTTCCCTCTCTCGCTGTGTCTCTCTCTGTCAAATAAATAAATAAAATCTTTAAAAAAAATTACTAAAATAAATTCTGTGTGAACCAAGAATACTAGGACTGTCTGAGGATATCTTAGAAAAAGAAACATGGTACCTTTCTGCATTTCCCTCAATTCTTCCCCTGTTTTCAGGCAGCAGCCTGAGCAGCCCAAACTCACAGCCTTGGGGTAGGAAGAGCATGTCTAAGCAATAGGGGCCTGAAGATTCATGTCTCAGCTTCAATTTCTTTTCTTGCCCCAGTTTTATTGCGATATAACTGACATGTCGCATTTTATAAGTTTAATGTGTACAATTGTAATAATTTGTAATAATAACTATATATATTATAATATGTATATTGATATATATATTGCAAAATGATTAATACAGTAAGTTTTATTAATATCCATCACTACACATAGTTACAGATTGTTTTCTCCTGTGATGAGAATGTCTAAGATCTACTCTCTTAGCAACTTTCAAATAGAAAACACAATACTGTTAATTATTGTCATCAGGCTGGACCTTACTTCCCAGGTCTTACTTACCTTATAACTGGAAATTTATACCTTTTGTCCACCTTCATGCAATTCCCCCACCTTCCACCCCCCTCCGATTTTCAAAATAGATCCTTGAAGTCCCAGAAGAGGTAAGAAGAGTTTGGGGTGTTTCACATTTATGTGGTAAATTATAGGTTTGACAAGAATGCACAATGATATAAGGGCCAGTTGTCCCCAGCCACCCCCCACCCCCTGCTCCCAACATACACACCCCTGCAGGTTTAGGGCCAAGTTAGAGGTAGCAGGTTATATATCTGGGCAAGTTTTCTAACATGTAATGCTGTTTTGAGAGAGAGAAACTACTAGTCAGGACAATTATAAGTAAGAGCTACATGTTCAGTTGAGTCAACGGAGACCAAACCTGGATGTCTCTAAGAATCACATGGCAAGCTTCTAAAAAGCTCGGGAACCAGGGTGCCAGTCCTACAGATTCTAAGTGTATAGGTAAGGGGTGAAGCACGGTTAACTGTTTGTTGGTTTGGGTTTTTTTGTTTTGTCTTGTTCTGTGCTTCAGTTTCTTCAGGTGATCGTGATAATCAACAAAGTGTGGGACACAGGGTTGTAGGGAGTTAGGCCAGATCCATAGTTCTCAACGGGATGACTTTTTCTCCCCAGCGAACACTTGGCAGGGTCTCGCATCCAGCTGACAGAGGCCAGGGATGCTGCTAAACACGCCGGGATTCTAGGAGTCAAACAATCAGCATGGGCATCCGTGTGTATTGTTTTCATTGTGCGTAGACAACCCACTTTGGGGGTTGGGAGATGGAGGGGCTCACACTGTTCCAAACTGTATACCCTTTGCCCCATATGCTACCAGGATGTGTGGCTCACACATGAGGTCCATGTGTTTCACTGGCCTTCACTTGTAGCCCTCACCATGTTGAAGTTAAGTAAATAATAGGTTTTGAAAACATTACCAGCACAGATTTGCAGTTGGGTAGGAACAGAGCGCTAGACATGAAGTACTCAAAACGGAGTCCAGATTTTGAAGTTCCCACGAGGACTGAATACATTGGCATATGCATTTGCTTGTACTTTTCCCATCAGCGCTGGCAAAACTGCTGAGGGAAGGGTGTGCCCCAAGTACATTCTTGGGGCTTTCCCTTTTTCCACTTCCCTCGTGAGACCAGGAACTTCATGTTTGTTTGTTATTTTTTTCTCCTTTTGCCCACAGCAAAATCAGCACTCTAGAAAGGGCCTAATACATACATTCCCATTAAGGAACTGATGAAGCTTCAAGATCAGAAAGCTCTGTGCCCTTGGAGGGGAATGGAGAACTGGCTTCTAACATGTGTTGAGAGGAGGTATCATGGAACAGTGGAAGGAACATGGGCTTTGCTCTCATGCCACATTCAAGGTTCAAAGCCCAGGTCTGCCACTTACTAATTGTGGATTGTGAGACAGTCACTTCAGCTCTGTGGCACTCAGCATCCTCGTCAGTAAACTGAGGATACCAAATCTAGATTGCCATGTTGTAGTGAGGGTTGGATAACATCTGTAAGGAGCCTGGTACATGGGGACCCCCAAAAGGGCAGAGCTTATATTTATCTGTCTTTATTCCCTGCTTACGCGTCATCACCAGAAGTCTCTGATCTATGGTAGGACATCGGGAAATATCTGTTGAATGAACAGATGAAATGGTAGCCATTATTGCGGAACGTCTGCTCTGTGCAAAGCTGGCCTCTTGTCTCTCCTCCTTTTGCAGACAAGCAAGTGGAGCTGGAGGCATGAGGCTGGTTTCCTGGGATCACTAACCCTCTGTGTTTTCTAACCACTCCAGGGCAAAGAAGGAGCCTTCATGGTACGAGATTCCAGGACCCCGGGAACATACACCGTGTCTGTTTTCACCAAAGCCATCGTAAGGTATGGTGCTAAGTCAGCTCTGCAAAGTGGGGAGAGACACACAGCAACCTCAGACGGTGCAAGAGGCAGCGGGGTTGCTAGAAATGGTGTGCTTTCCCTGATCCCTCTGAGCAAACCAAGGCCAGGAAGATGAAGGACATAACTGAAGTCATTTCACTGGAAAGTAACAGAGCTGGGTCCAGACGCCAGGTTGTCATCTAAGTTAGCACCCCCGAGTGCAGAGCTCTAAAGAAAGAAAATACTTGAGCTGCAGTTGATGATTTATACTTTAACCCACAGCTAACAGAGAAGATACTTTCAACCAAAAGTGCGAAGATAGACGTTTTAGTTCTGGCTCGGCTAATAAAGCTACCTACCATTTACTGAGTCCTTACCATGTGCCAGAATGTTACAGACTGTTTCTGATCCTCACAAGCTCTGAAGGCAGGAGTTACTATGCTCCTTCCACATAGGAAAAAACAAGGCTCAAAGAGCTGATGGCACCTCCCTGAGGCAATAGAGCTCAAGTAGTCAAGCCACCGTCATGCTCCAGCTGGCTGACTGCAAGACCCTGCTTGTCTGCCCCTCTCTGTACCTCAGTTTCCTGCTCAGTAAAACAAATGTCTAAGAACCTATCTGGGTCTCAGATTCTCTTCTAATTAAAAAATAAGTAAGAACAAAGCAGTTTGGCAATGAGCAAGTTCCAGTAAGAATTAAGAGAAAAGAGAAAAAGAATGATGAAGGTGTCCTCAGGGAGCACTTCTTGGTGAATGAGGACATGGGCAAGACTCAGAGCAAGAGCAGGGTCTAGACGGGTGATGGAGAAGAAGGGTGCTGCCCAGGGATGGGAAAGAAGATGCGCATCACAGAGGGGCTGTGCCTCTTCCACGGCTGGGGACAGTGAGGACAGTGACCTGCAGCTCCATAAGATATTATGGAGAAGGAATGAGAAATAAAGTTTATGCTGAGGGTGTTCAAGACCACCTCCAGGTTCAGGGATCCACTATGAAGACTCACAGGACTCAGCATATAGTCAGTCACACTCAAGGTTAAGATTTATCGTAGTGTAAGAGTACAAAGCAAAAACATCAAAGGGAAAAAACACATGGTGCAAAATCCAGAGGAAGCCAAACATGGAGCTTCCAAGAGTCCTCTCCCAGGGGAGTCACACAGGACGTGCTTAATTCCTCCAGCAATAAGCTTTGACAACAGGGGTAAAATGGTGTCTACCAGGGAAGCTCATGAGAGACTCAGTGCCTAAGGTTTTCATTGGGGGCTGGTCACCTAGGCATCCTCTGCCTAGCATACAGCAAAATTCCAGAGTCCCAGAAGAAAAGCAGGCATTGAACATAAACCACAATGCTATACAAACAATTTAGGAACAGGGAGCCATCCTTATCAGTTAGAGAATGGTGAGAGCCCTCCCAAAATCCAAATTCTCAGATGCCAGCCATGGGGCAGCCTTGCAAGCAGGCCTTTCTAAAGAGAGCATTCAGAGCTGCTATGTGAACTCTTTGCTCTGCAAAGTCACGTAGTACTAAGGGTCCAGAGTGCTCCCTTATCGTCTGCTGACAGTTAGTGAAATCCACACAGCAGAGGAGGCAAGCATGGAGCACACACAAGACCATTCCCCACTTCATGGCCATAGAAGAAGCATCACCAACCCATCATGGCACTGATTCTAACTGGGTCTAAATGCAGCCTCAGAGTCCTCCTTACTTCAGCCCCCAGGGCCACCCTGTCAAGACTGACACACGAGTTGAAATATACCTGCCATCCTTCTGAGAGGGTAAAAAAACAAAGCTAATAGGAATCTGATACCAGTAGACATTTTTGTGTCTAAATATTGCTTGTTAATAATCACTGCATATATGTTTCATTTGTTTCAGTGAGAACAACCCCTGTATAAAGCACTATCACATCAAAGAAACAAATGACAACCCCAAGCGATACTATGTGGCTGAGAAGTATGTGTTTGACTCCATCCCTCTCCTCATCAATTATCACCAACATAATGGAGGAGGTGAGATCTAAAGGATGAGGCCAGAGGGGAACCCTCGCAGGGGAACTTGGAGAAAAATGACAACCACCCCGCCGGGTTTCTTCATCCCAGACAAGCTGACCATAAATAATAACTAAATCTCCAAATAGAAAAGGATGCCAAATATTTGATCATATTACATATTTCCCATTAGCAAATTCTGTTTTTAGACTCATGGGATTTCACCACCTGCCCATCTGTGTTTATCACTCTTGTTGGAGGGGGTGTAATATCAGTGACTGGGCTTTGGGATTTGTTTTCCAGAATAAAAATAGCTTTTGCATTGGATTATATTTTTGCTGGTGATGTAACTTGAACAGTTGCTACAGTAAAGCAATAACTACTGCCTTTCACTTTTTAATCAACCCAGGTCTGGTCACTAGACTCCGGTATCCAGTTTGTTCCTGGAGGCAGAAAGCCCCGGTCACAGCAGGACTGAGATATGGTGAGCAGTGCAGTCAGCAATGTTTCGTATTGGCACATCCCTAAAGGTCTGGGGCAAATTCTGAATGGACTTCCCATGGACCTAATGCTTCCCCAGACTTAAAATAACCATTACAACAGGTCCACCATATATCTGGAGATGATGTGCACAAAGGAATATTTACAAAGTGTGTAAGAAAGATGTATATATGAGCACATTTATCCATGTCAAATCAGTGTCCATTGGTTTTACTTAAGAGTTCATCAATGAAATGTTTATTGAATACCTACTCTGTACACAGCACTCTACTAAATGCTATTGGAAAATAATATTAGAAAATAATGCCTTAGGACCATATTCCCACCTATCTTCTAGAACTTCTGTATCATCTAGTTTGCTGGGTATGCTCCATTCCAAGGGCTGGAAGCTGGAAGCATTCAGAAGTGTTTGTCTGCATAACATGGTGTTAATTTTTTTTCAGTGCCTTTAGGCAAAGCTTGCATCTCCAGCGCCACAAGCCCTGTTACTCCCTATTATCCTTTGGAACTGCCACCCTCATTTTTTATTATCTGCCTGGAACATAAAGGCATTTGAGTTTCCATCCCCTGGTTTAAACTGTGCTGGTCGAGGAGAAGGCTGGAGTAATTTTCATTCTGTGTCTCCTAGATGGGTGGTTCTCAGACTCCAGAGTATATCTAAGTCATCCGGGATGCTTAGTAATAGTGTTGGCTCCTGGGGGCACCTGGGTGACACCGTCAGTTAAGCGTCCAACTCTTGATTTCGGCTCAGGTTATGATCTCAGGATCATGAGATCAAGCCCCACATCAGGCTCTGTGCTCAGCGCAGAGTCTGCTTAAGACTGTCTCTCCACTGCCCCCCCTCCCCCCCCAAAATAAATAAATCTTAAAAAGAAAAGAAAAAGAATGTTGGCTCCTGGACACTACCTACCTAACACTTACCAAAACACAGTTTCTGATAATGGAATCCTGGAGTCTGCATTTTAAACAAATGCTCTAGGTGATTTTGCCACAGGTGATTAGAGAGCCATACTTTGAGAAACATTGCCATGGGCCCTCCATCCCTAACTAGCACCATATCTGTTACACAACAGGAACTTAGCACTCTTTTCTGTTGACTCAAAGAGGTAGAAATTGAGCTGTTCATGGTACTAGGGCCAAGTGCCAGGAAAGGGTAATGCCTCTTTAGCCTCCTGATAAAACTAGGGTAATTCTATTCACTATAGAATCTTAACATATCCATGCTGGATGGGATCTCAGAGATTATTTTATGAACCCGCTCATCTTGTCAATGTAAAAATTGAGAATCAGATTCCTTTTATTCATTTACTGCGCATTTTTTGAGAGCCTACCATGTACCAGACTGTGCTGCCGGGTACCTCTGTACCAGACCCCTTGGGATCCTTACTCCCAGCCCCTGCTATGGCCAAACAGAGTGCTGTGGAGGCACTTGGTGGATAAATGAATGAATGAATGAATGATCAGCTCAAATGAAATTCGCTCTGTGTGAAAAATGACAATAAAATATTTTCAATCAGGAATAGAAAATAGTTGAGACATTACAAGAACCCTTTCATTTATTTTCTTTGATATCTTGATTAATGCCACTTTCCTTCCTCCTTCCATATAATCTCCCCCCACATACATTTTTCATGGTTTTAAATGCATATACTGTGTTATTATTTGGGGGGAAGATAATAATTTTACCTATTTACCTAAAGCTTATACTATTTGCCATCTTTGGGTTATATTAACAATAAAGTAACAAGCTATCTAGGGCTATATATAGTCTCCTTGTAGCCCTATACCTCATATCTACTGCTTGCCACCCCTGGAAGACCCTCTCTCTCTTTTCCAGGGAAATGGGTGATTGATCCCTCAGAGCTCACTTTTGTGCAGGAGATTGGCAGTGGGCAGTTTGGGTTGGTGCATCTTGGCTACTGGCTCAACAAGGACAAGGTGGCCATCAAAACCATTCAAGAAGGGGCTATGTCAGAAGAGGACTTCATAGAGGAGGCTGAAGTCATGATGTGAGTAGCCAAAACAAGAGTATGCAAAGATGTCTTGGGGAGGATATTCTGTGCTGTTCTTTACATACCATTTTGATGCCATGTTCGCCACCTTGCTCCTCAAATCTAGTGATGGTTTCCAGTGGCATGGAGAATAAAATCAAACTCCTCACCACGGTCTACAAGGCCTGTCATGGTCTTGCCCTGTCTGCTCCCCAGTCTCATCCCCTCCGCATCTCTCCTCTGGTCCACAATGCACCAGCCACACCGGCCTCCATTCATCCTCGCACATACCATCTGACTTCTCACCATCCTTCAGGTTGTTTTTGTTTTGGAGAGGGAGTGCATTTTTGGGAGACTGAATTTAGACCATCTCATCCCTTGCCTTTTTCCTCCAGGAAACTCTCTCACCCCAAACTGGTCCAGCTGTATGGGGTGTGCCTAGAGCAGGCTCCCATCTGCCTGGTGTTCGAGTTCATGGAGCATGGCTGCCTGTCGGATTACCTGCGCAGCCAGCGGGGACTCTTTGCTGCAGAAACCCTGCTGGGCATGTGCCTGGACGTGTGTGAGGGCATGGCGTACCTGGAGGAGGCATGTGTCATCCACAGAGACCTGGTAAGAGGATGCAGGGCCAACATCTGTAGGTCTGGGATGAAGGGCTATGTCCCACTGAAATGTGGAGCTACCCAGACTGGGAATACGTTGATAAATAACAAGTCACAGACCATCTCCCTTCCACTCTCAAATTCTTTCTTCTTCCACCCACTAGGCGATGTCCTAGTAGGACTCAGATCTGGGCTCTAATCCCAGCCTTGTTTCTGACTTGTACCCTCTGAGTCTGAGTTTAAATTTTTCCAAAATGAAGCTTATGGCCTCTCCTTAACCTCTCTGTGCCTCGGTTTCCTCTTGGTAAAGTGAGGGAAATGGACAAGCACAGTTTTTCTCAAACTGTTATCCAAGGATTTACCACAATCACATTGGAGTGATGCTAAAACCATCCTTAGAATCTCTGGAGGTCAGAGGTCAGGATATTCATTTTAACATATCCCCTTGGGATTTGAAGGCACATTTCAAATGTGAAAAAAGAGTGGGGTCTTTTATCACTAAGGGCTCTTCCAGTGCACAATTCTGTGATACTAATTAGGGACTAGGTACTCTTCCTATTGAGGAGTAGTCTTAAGAGGATTAGTAACCTCGGGGCGCCTGGGTGGCTCAGTTGGTTGGGCGACTGCCTTCGGCTCAGGTCATGATCCTGGAGTCCCTGGATCGAGTCCCGCATTGGGCTCCCTGCTCAGCAAGGAACCTGCTTCTCCTCTGACCCTCCCCCCTCTCATGTGCTCTCTCTCTCTCATTCTCTCTGTCTCAAATAAATAAAAAAA